CAACTACAGCCAGCTTAAAATGTTAAATGTTTTGCAATGAAAGTTCGTTTTATATTTTCATTCCGGGATATGCTTCTGTTTGTAGAAAAGTGGATGCAGTGAAACGCATCAGCGTTCGCGTGTAATATTTCTTTACGGCCAACGAGAAAACACTTTATTGTAGACAACCGAGCCAAGAACATTAATCTTATGTGAGAAAAACGGGAAAGTACGATAAAAAGAAAGAACGATAATATTTTAGGGATGTTAACATAGAATTGGGAGTAGGTTCTCTATCTGTCTTTGAAAATTATAAAAATCTGTAGTTTTCAAAAAATCGATAGGTATTACTGCACATCTGAGCCTCAATGCGATCTTCTAAGTCTAGATCTGCTCAATATTTAAATTAATTAAATATGAATTGTTCTGATTTAACTCTTAAGGCTGTCATGTGACGGGCTTCAGACCCAAATCAAACCATTATCAGTTTACATAAAGTCTTTACGAATTTGTTGGTCCATTTTATTCGACATTTCGACAACAGGTGTAGCTGCCATCTCAGAAAGCGTAGCCAGAGTTACAACCACGACAAAGGATCGTACGCCCTCGCTACGTTTATTAAGGATGACATGCAACATCGAATAAGCGGTTCCATCGGTATTCTCACCGAAGTATAAGAAACAATCCTATAACCTCGGTCATCCATTAAACTCGAATATATACCACTATTTTGATAACGTCGACCATGGAAACCTTAAGTCTTCTAGTGTCTTCTATCCCAATGTCACCACCAACCACCCATTACCACAAAATTCCCGAAGGAGATTGAAGGGGACCTTCCACTACGCTTAGAATTACGAGCTGATGTACAGTTTCTACATCCTTTATGCAGTTGGAATCTCAAAATACCAAACTTTCATAATGCTACCTACTTTATTTTTTGGAAGGTTAGGTTATAAGTAGTTTAAGCTTCCCTGATATCAAATTTAATCTCACAGTTACAGTTTACGCGATGTGGAGTTTACTACACCATCTCTGAAGTTAGCTACGCATATTTCAAACATTTTTACTTCAAGTTTTGCTGGCAGATTGTTAACAGAAGTAATGATGCCCAGCCACGTGGAGAGCAGAGGTAAGAAAACAACAGCTGAGCACAGCACACGCCGCTGGGACTCTAGCGGACTCGCACCTCTCCGCGCGGCTGCGCATTGTATCCATCTAATACAGCCGTTGCCATCTCTCCGCCGCCGTCAGCCTTGCTCTCCCTCCGCCGCTGCCGCCCCCCGCCACTCGATATACCGTTTACCCTCTTCACGCGGCCGTAAAGCTTTTTCGTGACAGAAAAAATCGTAATACCCTTCGTCTATATAGAAGTTTCACTTCAATAAAAGGATAGCTAGTTCTACTTGGCTACTTTTGTTTATTTTGGCAACTATTTACTTGTAATACATGCAGTTTTTGTAGTTTCTATTTATTAAGCTACTAAAGCTTCCGTTAAAGAGTTTCTTTAACGTCTCCATATTCTTCTTTTCTTTATACGACCTTGCATATTCTTATATTCTTAATGTATAGAGAGTTAAATTTATGATCCCCTCGACTATAAAGTAGACATGTAAGAAACGCCATAATAGAGGAGAATGCTTTACCTACCCCGATACCCCTAAGCCTTGAGTAAGCAGATAGTAATGACGTCTTTTATGTGGAAATGAAAGGCTGGTATTTACCTAAAAGGATAAAAGCGCTTCACATTACCTCCTGAGTAATTTAAATTTCTATAAATAATTATTTCATTGTTTGTTGCTCATAATTGTTTAGTTGCTTAGCTTAAATTTAATATCTACGTATTAACCGGTTTTAAATAGACAATTTGAAAGTAAGTTACTGATCTGAAAATCAAATTATTTGTAACTTAGGTACTAATTTTAAACAGAAATCCTTTAAAGTTTGTAGGTATGTAGTTAAGAGTAGGATGTATTTAGGGGAGGAAATCTAGGGAATCTTGACACCCTCGTCAAAGCACTTTGAACTTAAACGATTTCCTTAAACAAATGGTTCATTTAAAAGCAACAGAATTAACAAAAATCACGAAACTACTATGGCAAATATTGAAGATAGTTTGTTTAGGGTTCTGTATTCGAGAATCGATACGACACCATGACGGTTGTTTTAGCCGGTAGTCGCTATAACCAATTACCGCCATGTATTACGCTTCCAAGTGCGTGCGGCGTGTACCACATTTCTGATTTGTTTGATCACCTGTACACTATTGCATGATGACTGATGAAAATAATGAGTTAAAAAAATAAACAAAAATTACCTTCTGATGTTATAGTCAGTGCATTTCTTCAAAATCTGTGGTAATACGGCGCAGATGTAGACAATATGTCATTATAAACTATGTCGTACTGGGCAATTTTCTGGTTAACTTGTTTGGGGGCTATCCAACAAATTACGCAATCCTAACTAGCTAAAGATGAAGTCCAGGTAGACGTTGGCTCGTAGCTCAAACTTCAACAATTATAGATCCTCCCCCACGTGGTCTACCGTAGCTTTTCGCCCAACCTCCCCTAAAGCTCCACATTTCCTAGTACAAACAACTTTTTTTTATTTTAGTCTAGCCAGTCATTCAAATCTTGATTCACAAGAAATTGTTCGTTATCAGCGTCATCATGAGAAGATTTCACACTCGCGGTATTTAAAAAAAAACATTTCAAATTAGTTTGTTTACATACAGCTGCGTAACTTTTACTAGGACTCCCTCCTGCCGCGTAGTGCAACACAGCCCTTTGTCTGGCCCCTCCCCCCCTGAGGCAAGCTACGTACTTTATGTTAAACCCCTTATGGCCCTGCTACGTGGAGAGGAGGTCAATGCAAAATCTTGCCAAAATAACGGTGTAGTGAGACGCAGAGGGGTCAGGGCACGCGTTACGGTCCTGCTACTTGGGATAAGGAGGAAGATGTCCAAAATTGATTGATGGATAGCGCCTTACATGAATAGGGTAAAGGTTAAGTCGCGAATTCTAAATTTCAGTGCGTTGTTCTAAGCAATATCACTGTTAAGGGTTGAGTAAGTTTAATGGTTCATGAATTTTTGTAATAAATAACGCATCTGTATCCATTTTTCGGATAGGGTATTTCGTATTCCTTTTGCCTCTCTATCTCAAAATTGAAAGTGATGCTTTGAGGAAATTATTTCAGGCTCAATGAAAAATTAGAAGAAGTGACTGATTTCAGGTATCTAGGAAGTCAGATAAGTCAAGACGGAAGGAGTAATAGAGATATAAAGGAGACGATAGCGCAGGATCGAGTCGCCTTCAGTAAAAAGAAGTCACTTCTGTGCTCGCGAATGATTAATTTATAAATTCGAAAAAGATTGTTAAAGGTTTATGTTTGAAGCGCGGTGCTGTGCGGGTGCGAAACATGGATGGTAGGCGTGGCGAAAAAGAAAAGGTTAGAAGCGTTCGAAATGTGGTGTTACAGACGAATAATGAGGATACCGTGAATAGAGAAGGTTAGAAATGAAGAGGTATTAGAAAGAGTAGGAGAACAAAGGACTCTATGGAAGTCAACAAAAAATAGGTGAGATAGGTTAGTAGGACACCTTCTCAGGCATGAAGGTCTAGTCGGAGACATATTAGAGGCAACCGAAGTTAGGAGGTGTAGAGGTAGAACTAGATTAGATTACTGTTCGCAAGGTTGTTCTAGTTTTAGAAGATTAGCTCAGGATAGAAAAGAGTGGAAGTACGTGTCCAACCAGTCTGACTGACGACTTTATGGTGATGATGATAATGAAATTTCATAAATAAATTGAACCACTCTTGAGCTGAAATATAAAGTTGGGGTATGAATTTTGTTTAAATTGTTTATGACTTAGATATGGTGAAAATTGTCAAATCATCAAGTTCGTCAGTCCTAATACTGCTTGGACACGCACCTCCACTCTTTCCTATCCAAATGTAGCAATCAAATTCTTTTATAAAACGAACGAATCAATATTGATTACAGTTTAGCAAAAGAGTAAATAACTAACTGATGATTATGAGCTTCGGTAATAAGGCACGCGTACATCTATTGAAACTGGTTTTAGGCACCTTTGCTTTTGATTTCATTCGCAAATAATGGTGAATGCGCCTGGTTGTAAAACACAATTTTCGCGATCGTCACATTCTAGGAGCGGTCTTTATTTTCTTATGCTCTACAGAGATGGTCCTATCCATTTCTCTTCTATATAGCCTACGTAAAACAATTCACTTTAAAGCAAACCTTCGAAGCAAAACCTTTTCCTTCGCTTTTTTATGCAGATTCCTTGAAGGAATTGCTTCAATTTTTAGCAGTAGGGCAATGCGCATACGGTTTGGGATGTAGGCATAGAGATTTTGTTTATATTTTGTGTCTTACCAACTGACAATATCCAAATTAATGCGCAATTGTTTATATCCCACGAGACTATTTCGTTTTCTATCCTTTATTACTGATGATTCTTTTTAGACCATTCGCTTCGGTTTAAAATATTACTCGTATGGAATCGGCATAAGTTCCCAAGTTCCACACAAAAATAATCGAAGGATTATTTGAATTTTCGAGTGTTTTTTTCTATATTGATATAACATGAAAACATAGCAGCAACAGTTTGCTGTTCATATTCTTGAAGAAACCGAATTATTTCCTTCTTGTCGTTTAAAGGAAATAGCCTGTTTTTACAGCCCCTATATCCTCGACGTTCCTGGAAGGAAATGAAAACTTGGGGTTCGAAGAATGTGTCATTTTCGTGGTATTACGTATTTCTGTTACCGGCATTCTACAGACAAACAGATAAAACAATACAAACCCACGTTTAACTCCCTCTTTGAACTCTATACGACGTATATATAGGTACGTTTAATTAACCCAAAATTGTTTATTGTCCTTTCTCCAGCTACTACGAAAACAAACCGTTTGGGGCTTTTAGCCCAAACCAGAAATTACATTTTCCTTACAATTAGTTAGTTATTTATGATTTAATGACGATATAAAAAAGCAAAAAAATAAAAATATGTATTTTATTCAATTGCATATTATAATACACAAATAAAAATAAATAATAAGAACGGTCGCACATTGTTTGTTACAAAACAATTGAATTTTAAAAACGAATACTTTTTATCACTATATTTTATTATCAAAAAACAACCTAAATAATACTACGGTGCAGGTAATTCTTTCTTTGTACCACCAGAATTCCACGCTTGCACCTCTGCTGAACCAAATACGAGGTAAAAAACCCCGGCTACTAGGTAAAAAGCTGCAGTTATATAGAATATTAAACCCCATTGGTAGATATTTGTCTAAAAAAAACGCAAACGATAAAATGGCGTAATATTAAACCTAAAAATAATGGACAGTATATCGCCATCTATTGATATTTACTGCTAACTGCAGAGGTGTAAATTGAAAATCCTAAATAATATGGTAAATGCGTTGGTGACATTGTTTGTTACTATTTTACGCCTTAACCATTTAACCGATCATCATAAAATTTTGTATACACCTTGTCAGGGATATAGGGATGGACATGGGGTACCATTTATTGATCAAAAATATTGTTCCCGAGGGATAGAAGCATGCACTATCCGCGGTTCCAGAATAGTTAGAAGCGATTATTAATTTTGCATACAAAAACGGTGCAACACAGAATATCCTTCTCTTTATTTTCCAACAATTTCCCGATTGTTCACATCTTGTACTTCTGTCAGTATAACAAAATTTTAATTATAAACAATAATGGACTGAAGTTTCCATTTCATTTTTATGAAAACAAAATATTATTAACAAACACCGTTTGCACTTTTTTCGTTTATATTGTTTCCGACAAATTTGTAGTGATTATGTAAAAACACTTTAAAGCTCGCTGATTTTTTTATCATCTAATTACACCTACCTCTGGTAATTTATTTGTCATCAGACCGCAATTACTTTGTCATCCAAATAAAAATTATTGGTACATAATTCAAGCGTGAAGTCGAAAAACCATATTGTATTTACTAACGCAATTTTAGTCGATTAACTACGGGTATCGATTTTTGAAACTTCGTTTAACACGAATCACGGGTGAAACAAAACAAGCTTTAGAATGTTAAATATAAATTTCCATATTTCAAAACGAAACTTAAGATTTAGATTTGTACGACTATTTAAGATTGAACAGGTTACAGTACGTAAAATTTAACTAGAATGAGTTCGTTTTTTAATGATTATTGTTCTAAGGGATATTACCAAGAATATTGCCTGATATATGATTTAAATGCAACCTCGATAATCCGAACATGTTAATCTGAACCTCCGCTAATCCGAACAACGAACACTTGAAGTCATAATCTAAATAAACCTTGATAGTCCGAACAACAACTTTTTAAGAAAAACTTGCGTTTTTTAAATATTGGAGTCTTCCTAGACTAATAAGGGTGTTTGCACAAAATATCAATTCAAATATTACTTACGGTGTCTGTAACCACGAGGTGAACTGCGATCGGTCCTACAATGGAAAATATAATCGAGCCACCGTTGGTCAGTGCATTCACAGTAGCTGCATAATTCGGTGCAATGTCGGTATTGTTCATCATGAATCCGGATGTTATTGCTGAATTAACTCCAACTGCTATTACTAACAGGAGTATTATCATAGTGGCTGTTGCCTCTTTGCCAAAAGCAGCCAGAATTATAAGAGCTGCAGCCGGACCAAAAACACCTTAAATGCACATCTACATAACTCATTTGTTTTTGGTTATAACTTGAAAGATATAATATGTAAAATAGAAGAACGATACTTAGTTCGTATAAAGAGCAACAGGCAGTTATACAGATGGGGATGTAACGTAGAGAAGTAAATATGTATTAGGAAGGGAGTCAGACAGGGATGCACACTGTCTCCGTCACTTTTTAATCTATACATCGAAGACTCTATCAACATCATTAAAAACAGTACAATTGTAGGGATAGAAATACAGGGGCAAAAGTTTAGTATGCCTAGATTTGCAGATGATATAGAAGTATTAGCATCTAGCAAGGAGATAAAGAGATAGCTTTAAATAAAATGGAAGCTGTATCGACAAAACAGTACTGTATGAAAATAAACAAAAATACTAGTATGCAAAAGAAGAAAAAGTAGGGAAAGAGCGAATATAAAGGTAGGAGACGAAAGATTACAAGAAGTGGCCGATTTTAGGTATCTATAGGAAGTCAGATAAGTCAGGACGGAAGGAGTAGTAGGGATATAAAGCAGAGAATAGCGCAAGGTCGAGTCGCCTTCAATAAAAAGAAGTCACTTCTATGCTCGCGAACGGTTAATTTAGAAATTCGAAAAAGATTGTTAAACGTGTAAGTTTGGAGCACGGCGCTGTACGGGTGCGAAACATGGACAGTGGGCGCGGCGGAAAAGAAAAGGTTAGAAGCATTAGAAATATGGTGTTACAGGCGAATGATGAGAATACCGTGGATAGAGAAGGTTAGAAATGAAGAGGTATTAGAAGAGAACAGAGGTCTCTATGGAAGTCAATAAGAAATAGGCGAAATAGGTTAGTAGGACACTTTCTCAGGAATGAAGGTCTAGTCAGAGACATACGAGGGTGGATTGATAAGTTTCCGGCCTAACCAAGAGATGACGCCACTAGGCCTACCTTGAGGTGACATTCTATAGTACCATCCTTGGATAGCTTGTAGNAAAATTATAATTAAATAGTATTTAACTGAAATGTATTTATAAATTTTAATAATTTAAAGCAGTTACTCTCGGAAATGTGGAGTTTAAAAAAACGTGAAAAGGGACTAAAACGTATTTGTAGATGCTGTAAAATTATTTAGAGATTGCGTACACGTCATTAATATAGTCTGTAATAATATACCTGACGCCCCTGCTAAAATGAGCAAGGACAGATCTTTGATCTATTCAGCCTCTAACATTACATTGTAAGCGGGGAAAGCTATATTTCGAGCGTCTTCAATGCTCCACAATATCGAACAAGTGAGCAACTGTCTTAGTTTGCTCAAGAGCTACAGCGAATGACCGAATTCAGGAACAGTTTTAGTGAACAATGCGTTTTCGCTTTTTCAAAATATGAAAAAATTACAGTGAAAATATTTAACCCTCAGTTACGTCTAAACGCCTAAGCGCGATTATTAATAATGTTACTATAATAATTACCTTTACTGGTACGTTGGTGCCTTGAGTAGACAAGATGTATTCCTTTTCCTTGTCAGATATCCAAGGATGGTCCTGAGGGCAATTGGAGCCAAACATTAACCAGAAAATTAACCAGGTATATCCAACAGCCCCAGATACGTAAAATACCAACGGCCATCCCATGGTACTGGCACAAATAAAACCACTGAGGGACATTGAAATTATAGTACCAACGCTACTTCCTGAAAATGATATATGTACTAACAATCAGTTTCTATACGTTTAGTTCTTATCAGCACCCCTTAACTAGCTTCTCCAGAATACTGACTATGTGCCATTTAACAGACAAAACCATCGTATAAATATGCTACGCCGTGGGTCCAATTTAACAAATCATTATCCTACAAGTACTGTAATTCATCCCTTTTTCACGAAACAAGTAGTTGGCAAACGAGTTAGTTAATAAAAATCCTCTATAGTTTATTATTCAAATGAATTGAACTTTAATTTATTTCATTATTTATTCAAACTGCTTAAGGATTTAAACCTAATTGGTAATTTGGATTCCTTAGATTTTGAAACATAATTGGGGTTTCAAGGGCTAAAGCATTTTGGGCTTTGGGTTTAGGGCTAAGAGCTCCCTTGTGCGGGATTTGATGTAGACCCTCAATAACTAGCAAATTTGTACAGATGGCGTTCACTACGCTGGCAGTACTTATTCATGTTACCGAAAATGAATGAAATCCGTCATTGTATACAATTACTAGGCAATGTATATAATGCCTAAAATCGCCCGGAAATGTGTGAAATAAATTATATTAGACACATTTCCTAGGAAATCTATACATTGTCATATATATACGTTGGGCGCGGAGATCATAATGAAGCATTATTCCAACATATCAGCGGAAAGGGGCATTAANTGTTCCAGTTTTAGGGAAATACAAAAAATTGGTCCAGTCTTCAAGCTGATGATATTTTTGATTATTTTAGTAGCAACAAAAATAGTACATACTAATTAATATGTACTTATTTTACACATCAAAGGAAGAAAATACGGCATTCCCACCTGGATATGAATTACCATCAGAACCGTAGATGGGGATGGTGTCATATTTTCTTTCCGAGACCCGTATACTAATCTTTACCATATACCATAGCCTAAAAGCACGATATTTTCCTAATTTCAAGAACGAAAGCACATTTCCTCTCGGGTAAGAAATCGCACTTACTTTCATAACAAAGGATTATATCATCCCCCAACAAGGGATGTGGAAATACATTCCCAATAAATATTAAATGCGATTTTTTACCCAAGATGTCAAGTTGCGTTTCAGTTTCTGAAATCAGGAAAAGTCGTACTTTCGAGACCAAGATATGGCATACGGGGCTCGGAAGAAAAATGCAGCACTGTCTCCCTGGAGTTTGCCACCCCTTCCTTCAACTTGTGTGAGAGAAAATGCCATACTTTCCACCCTTGATGACTAATACACTATTAAACTTTATATGTACGTATACTAGCATTAGATTTCTGATCAGCAATTATTAATCGAAACCGAAGTAATAAGTGCACGAAAACCAGATAACTAAATATCAAGAAAAAGACAATTGACGCCATCTATATCTTCTAACCATCACTACAGATGTCAAACAAATGAATTTTAAATATTTTTTTTGTTACACAATCTCTCATCTGCCAATAAAAGTTATGCTTCTATTTCGATCGCATTTTGCTATTACCATTTTTATTGCATTGTATGCCTTCGCAAGATAGATGCATACCTATATATTATGATCATACATACAATGTCAGATACAATTTAGAGGATATTTAGCGAACAAATAACTTCGAAGCAATTATTTTAATTTGTCTGTCTCATATAACAAGCGCACGCTGCAATAAAATGTGCCAGCAAGGATACAAAGTAGGTACGACTTACATAAGGTCATACTAGTTACTTACATAGTTTAAAATAAGTAAGTACCTATTATACTAAATTGCTATAATATGTAGCATTCGTATGTGTTATAAACGGAAAATTAATTGGCATAGTCTTGATTTTTACTAATTAATGTTTCTAATGCCGTTAAATTCACTAATTTGTACATAGTAACTTCTTATTTCACTTCGTTCTTAATTTAAATTATTAAAATTATAATTAAATAGTATTTAACTGAAATGTATTTATAAATTTTAATAATTTAAAGCAGTTACTCTCGGAAATGTGGAGTTTAAAAAAACGTGAAAAGGGACTAAAACGTATTTGTAGATGCTGTAAAATTATTTAGAGATTGCGTACACGTCATTAATATAATCTGTAATAATATACCTGACGCCCCTGCTAAAATGAGCAAGGACAGATCTTTGATCTATTCAGCCTCTAACATTACATTGTAAGCGGGGAAAGCTATATTTCGAGCGTCTTCAATGCTCCACAATATCGAACAAGTGAGCAACTGTCTTAGTTTGCTCAAGAGCTACAGCGAATGACCGAATTCAGGAACAGTTTTAGTGAACAATGCGTTTTCGCTTTTTCAAAATATGAAAAAATTACAGTGAAAATATTTAACCCTCAGTTACGTCTAAACGCCTAAGCGCGATTATTAATAATGTTACTATAATAATTACCTTTACTGGTACGTTGGTGCCTTGAGTAGACAAGATGTATTCCTTTTCCTTGTCAGATATCCAAGGATGGTCCTGAGGGCAATTGGAGCCAAACATTAACCAGAAAATTAACCAGGTATATCCAACAGCCCCAGATACGTAAAATACCAACGGCCATCCCATGGTACTGGCACAAATAAAACCACTGAGGGACATTGAAATTATAGTACCAACGCTACTTCCTGAAAATGATATATGTACTAACAATCAGTTTCTATACGTTTAGTTCTTATCAGCACCCCTTAACTAGCTTCTCCAGAATACTGACTATGTGCCATTTAACAGACAAAACCATCGTATAAATATGCTACGCCGTGGGTCCAATTTAACAAATCATTATCCTACAAGTACTGTAATTCATCCCTTTTTCACGAAACAAGTAGTTGGCAAACGAGTTAGTTAATAAAAATCCTCTATAGTTTATTATTCAAATGAATTGAACTTTAATTTATTTCATTATTTATTCAAACTGCTTAAGGATTTAAACCTAATTGGTAATTTGGATTCCTTAGATTTTGAAACATAATTGGGGTTTCAAGGGCTAAAGCATTTTGGGCTTTGGGTTTAGGGCTAAGAGCTCCCTTGTGCGGGATTTGATGTAGACCCTCAATAACTAGCAAATTTGTACAGATGGCGTTCACTACGCTGGCAGTACTTATTCATGTTACCGAAAATGAATGAAATCCGTCATTGTATACAATTACTAGGCAATGTATATAATGCCTAAAATCGCCCGGAAATGTGTGAAATAAATTATATTAGACACATTTCCTAGGAAATCTATACATTGTCATATATATACGTTGGGCGCGGAGATCATAATGAAGCATTATTCCAACATATCAGCGGAAAGGAGCATTAAGGATGTTTGGGAGGTATGTCAAAATGCTACGAAACAAATAAAAATTTGGAAGAACGTTCCTCATTCAATTCTAAAACTCCTGTAAAAATTACAAATCGATTCACTAAACCGTTAAAAAGTTATTGAAATTTTAAAAAATTGTAATTTTACACGTCATTTTATGGAGATTCGTTAACCGAACAGATTAAATTTATTTTTATTAACAGAAAAAAAGGTAC